ACTGTCTGCTCAGCTCAGTTCTCGGTTTCTGATCCCCCCCTGGTACGACCACGGGTGACATAATGGAAGGGTTAGCCATCTTCCGTCCTCTGCTGGTGCTGGCCTGGGGCCTCGGCCTGCTGCGCCCGCACTGGGAGCAGCTCACCCGTTCTAGTTCTCCTGTGTCCTTCACTCCTGTCCCAAGACCTGGAAGGGCTGGATGAGCCCTCCCACCCCCTTCTGGTCCTGCTACTCCCCAGGCACAAGCTGCTCCTTGCTCCCATGCCTGGCTGCTCCGGAGCAACACCCGGGGGCTTGGCAGAGCCCCGAATGCCTCCCAGGCTCTGCCCACAGATGTCCTGAATCAGAGTCTGCAGGACCAGGCCTTGAATTGGGGTTTTTGACAAGCTCCAGTGGGGATTCTTAGTTGTCCACCTTGGTATTTGGGATCCGCCGGCCCGCAGGGTAAAGGCCAGGCTGCCTTGTGACATTCCAGTCCTCTCTGGTCTGCCCACATCTTCTGGCCCCTACTCATTGCCCCTGTGCACCCCTCTCCGTGGATCTTATGCTCCCACACCCGCAGGCACCTTTTGGGAAGGGAGCACTCCTCATGCTGTTCCTTTTTAACCTCTCCTCCCAAGTGTCTGTCTGTAGTTCCCCTTCATTGAAATGGCCGATGCCGCCTCCTCCCTGAAGCCTTCTCTGATGCTCCCCCTCCTGCCCTGAAAGGATAGTTTGCTTCGAAAATGAGCATTTTAAATTCCTCAAGGCTGTGCTATCCTTGGACTTCTGGCAAGGAGGAGTCCTTTTACAAAACAGATCTTCCCTTCACAGTGATCCAGCTTTTGGAAAAACAGGTTTATAATTATGAGCTGTGGGGGTGGTTCTCTGTCCAAAACTTATTAATCGGTATTTAATCAAGAAAGCAACAGTTTTAGATCCTGTACAAGTTTTCTCCAGGTGCAGGGTTGAAATAAACTTCTTTAATTATTTAACTTTAACTTTTTATTGTTACTTTTTCTATCATTTGGGACTTGATATCTATGCTTATTATAGAAAACTAGAAAATACAAGGAAATGTCAAGGAAAAAAGCCACCCATGTCTTTCCTGCTGTGGCCACAGCTGACAGGCGGTACCCGCCCTCCTGGTCTGTTTGCTAGATACTCGAATAGTTAAGTGTGCGTAGAATCGGGCCTGAACGCTCCCTGTAGGGCAGTCTCATGCTCCCAGAATGGGCCTGGTTTCTGCTCCTCTATGAGCAGGACTTGGAAGCTTTTCTAGATAAATCCTGAACTCCTCTACCTCACGTTATTTTTTAAAGTATATATATAGTTTTAAAGATTTTATTTATTTATTTGCAGAGTGCGCACGAGCACAAGCAGGGGGAGCGGCAGGGAGAGGGAGAAGCAGGGAGCCCGATGCGGGGCCCGATCCCAGGACCCTGGGATCATGACCTGAGCCGAAGGCAGACACTTAACCGACTGAGCCCCCCAGGCGCCCCTACTTCACGTGATTGATTGATTGATCTATTCATGCCTTTATCAGGCATTTACTTTATGCCAAGCCCTGGGCATGGTGGCAGCTGGAGTTTTACCTATTATTTAAAAGATAATTAAAAAAAAAAGTCCCTAGTGTTTGAAAATATGTTGTTGGGTGCACCGGGCACCACGCTCCAGCATGAGAATGTACAGTGGGACGGAAGTCTTCTCACTCACCCCTCCAGCTGCCCTTGTCTTTGACCAGAGGCCACCCTACACCATAGTCTTTCATTCTTTCTTGTACTTTCAGATTCATTCTGTGTGTGTGCAAGCCCGCGTTCTTGTGCTGGATGTTGTTCTTAACCCAGGACGTTGGAGGCAGCACACAGAGCTTTGCACCTTGCGTTTTCACCTAGACAAAGCCTTCTGGGCGCATGGAGGGCTTCCTCGTTCTTTTTACTTACCGCCTAGTATTTCTCGGACCACGTGTGGTTTCTTAATGGCCCCTCTTATGGTCTTTTGGTCTTCCGCTGTCGCAGTGAACAGCCTGAAACACCACCCGTGTGAGGACGTCTGTGGGGCGGGATGGGGGCGCGGGCGTTTTCAGGAGGACTGGTAATCCCTTGACAGCGAGTTCTCTGGCTTATCTTCTCCTTCCTCCTCCCCTTGTGTCAGAAACCAGTTTGGGGAATTTTAGGAGCCTGCTGCTTGGGAAGTGAGGGTTGTTGGTCTCTTGGTCCCACAGGAGTTTCAGAGGAAGGAATGAGGCCCTGGTAGGTTTACGTTCTCCTTTGCGGAGTGGGCGGCAGTGGTGCGCATGGGGTCCCTCCACTATGGGGCCTGTGACTTCCTGCCTGCCCCCCTCCTCGCCCCCCCCTTACACCGAGGCCCTGTGGCGCAGAGACCAGGCTGGCCGTCCTCTGTGCCTCCCCTGCCGGCCCTGCTGTGCCTGCTGGTGACAGCCCGGCCGTGGGGCAGTCCTCACTTCCTGAGGCTGCCCGGCCTCTGCTTTCTCATCCGAGTAACAGGTCATCACTGCCCCGCCCTGCTGGGGCTGAGGAAGGCGTCAGCGGGCAGAGAGCACCCAGTGCGCCTTAGCTGCCCTGGCTGAGGGGGTGTCTCCCTTGTGGGCTGATGTGGGCTGAAAGGGGAGCCCCTCTCTTTTCTGCCAGAGTCGAGATAGATCCTGTTCTTGGAGCTCTGAGCTACAGAGGAGCTAGTTTGGCTCCCGGGAGCTCAGTCTCACTTAAAATTTTTCAGCCTGCCTGTTCTCAAGATGAACTTGTTGTTTCTTTCATGTTACGGGTCTCTTGTGTTTTCAAAGTTGGAGTCCTGTTTGTTTTTTAGGACTGGGGGAGGGCAAGCTGACTGGGACGGTGTCAGATGTGGGCGGGTTGGAAGTGACTGCATTCGGCCTCGGAAGGAGATGAGAGCCACACGCCGGGATAATCGGGCTGCCATGAGGATTAACTCAGAGGGAAAACCCAGGGCCTGGCGACATCCCAGTGGAGGCCCTGTCCACCTGGTGTGGGTCACGTCCACACACGCCCGCTGTCCCCTGTGGTGCCATCTGTCCTTCCTGTGGTGCGGCCCCAAGTCTTGCCCTTGGGGACTTCCCGAGGAGCTGTTCCCTCAGCTGTTCAAGATTTCTTTCCTGGAGCAGGGCCAGGGGCAAAGTGAGGAGTCTCTCTGAACCCAACCTGGCTAGTCCCAGTCACGAGTCAAGGAGCCATGGGCCGGTCACTGTCACTGATGCTCAGGTGGAGCAGGACAATCTGGGAGTGAGGCCGAGGCTCTGAGGTGTCCCTGCCGTGGGTGCTGGTGGCCCAGGGCTGTGCTCTGTGCCCAGTCTCTCCCCTCATGATGTCAGGGAAGCCAATGGGTATTGGCTATCATTCTGGAACTGTTCTGGAGCTGTGGAGAAGCTGAGTGGTGGTGGGGACCCCGAAAGCATCAGCCACTGTGGTTTTCCAGACTGCGTTCCTCGGGACCTGGTGTTGGGGGTTGAGGGGAAGTTTGGCTCAGCGTACCCCACAGTGCGAACCGGTCTGTCTTGCTGTCTCATGTAGCGGCTTCCTTTCGAGGTTCGGCTGGGTGCCGGCTCTCAGGAGGTGTCGGGAAACGCTCCGATGTGCTAACCAGCAAAATGTAGGATTGGCAGGCGTCACCTCCGCTGTGTTGTGTGAGGGGATGGTGACGGTGCCCAGGGGGCTTTGTGCCCACCTCCTCCCCTAGACTGTGAGCCTGTCCAGGGCCTGAGCGATGTCTGTTGCATTTGGTGTGCCCGTGAGTGCTGGGCCAGGCTGGGCACAGGACCCTGAGCTGAGTGTTACGTATTCGCGTTTAGGGGGTGTCTGTATGCCAGGCGGCCGCCGTAACTAAGCACATGGTACACACAGCCATTGAACCTGCCATAGTCCCTGCTCTCATTTCCAACCTTGCCTGGTCACAACCTCCTCCGAGCACCTCTGGGGGGCCCCAGCCTTTCTTCCCAGGAAAATGCACATGGGCCTGGCCATGGGCATGCCATTGGCATTCCACATAGACGCCTGTGCCTGCCCCAGCATCCTGCCCCAGGAGACAGCCCAGCAGGACTCTGGAACAAAGGGCTGGGATGGTGGTGGTCCCAGGTTCTTGGGAGTATTTTGGCTCTGGGTAGGTCGGTAGGGCGAGGGTGTTGTGGGTTGGGGGAGGCTTCCTGGGAGAGCTTCTATATGAGCTACATCCAAAAGGCTGGGATGGAAAGTGTGGACCAAGGCTTGGAGAAGTGACACAGCCCGTGTGCCCAGATGCTTGGGGTGGGGGAGGTAAAGGTGGGTGAGTTGCAGGGGGCCTTTGTGTGTTCCTCAGAGACCCTGACCCTGTGTGTAGTGGGGTGGGGTGAGTTAGGGCACGTGTGTGGGAGAACAGTGGCCGTGGGACTGTGGGTGACAGGTGGAGGAGGCGGGCTGACAGCAACATTGGCGAGGCCCGTGATGGTTGAACCGGGCTCAGAGGACGCATAGGGCGTCAGTGGGGCTAGAGATGGCCAGGATTGCACTAGCTGAGCCGAGCAGGGGCCTCCTGCAACATGGGAGAGTGGATGGACTGAGGCAGAGCTGGGAGGCCAGGCCAAGGTGTTAGACCAGATAGCAGAGAAAATGGGGAGCCATGGGAGGTGGTGGAGTCAAGGAGGGAAGGTCAGACCATTGGTGGTAAATGCGGTGGAGGGGAGCATCCTGGGTGGAGCTGTGCCCATGAAGGGCTGCCCCTGAGATTGGAGAGGGAGACAGCTGGCTGTGAGGAAAACCAGCAAACTTGGGGTCTTTGTAGAATGACAGCCAAGCCCCTCTGGGAAATGACTCTCTCTCTGCCAAGAGGCGGCCTTGAGGACTGACTAGGAGTTCACAAACCTTCCCTCTGCTAATGGGGCTGTTGTGGGACTGTGCTTGAGGGGTGCAGCCGCAGGCTCTCCCATGCCTTCAGCTGGCTGCAGTGAATGTTCTGGAAGGATGCTTCCTGACTGCTTGGGTAACCTTTGTTTTCTCTGTTTCTCTCCACAGAAAGCGAGGGATAGAAGTGGTGCAGGTGAGTACAGACCACGCCCTCGCCATTTTTCGTGTGGGTGGGCCTTTTAGGGCCCCCCTTTCCTCCTCTCCCCCAAGAGTCTGGGTGCTTGAGCGCCTTCACTCGCTTCTCATGTTTAACTTCTCCCCGTGTGGAGTCTCCGTGATCTCTGCCCTGGCAGGACGTGGGTTGTGGTCGGTGGTCTCTGGGGTTTGTGGAGTTGCGGTTTCTTCATCCGTGGGGGAGAGCTGGGGCTCTGGCTGGGGGTGGGGGTAGGCAGGGTGGGGGAGCCTGGCCACCCAGCCAGGTGTCTGGGGTCCTGTTGCCCCCCATGGTTTGTCTCTGTCTGCCCTTCTCCTCTGCCAGGGAAGCACGAGCCCCCTTGGGCCCCTGCCTTGGCTGCTCGGCCCTCTGGGGGTGAGCCCTCTCCTTTCTCGGACCATGCTTGTAAGTGGTATCATCTCCAAGACGACTCTTGCCCCCCGCCCTTCTCCCCCGGACTCCTAGGTCAGGTGCATCCCCTCCCTGCTGTCAGTCCAGCTACATCTGATCTCCCCTATGGGCGCCTGGCTTCTGGAGAGTGGACAGAGTCAGTGGGGGGGGGGGCGCTCCTGATCCCCGTGCTGCCTCACCCTGGGGTGGACTTGGGTCAGGTGCTCATTGGCTGGAGAAGGAAGGATGGATGGAGAAAGAAGCCCTCCCAGGGCCTGGGGTGGGCTCTGCCCCAAAATAGATGTACACACTCTGACAGCAGCCATGGCGGGGCGGGGGGAGTGTTGCTGGGGTGGGACTGGGTTTCCTGTCTGGAAGCCTTGGTGGAGGGTTGCTGAATGAATTCTTCCTCTGGTCTCCCTCCTTGTAGCGGGTTGAACTTGTGACCTGGAGGTTGAGGTTGGTTTCCGGGGAGGAGGTAGTTTCTGGAAGCCCCTCATCGACTGTCGATTTTTCATCCAGGCTCATTTTAGTTCTGCAAAGTTGCGTGATCTGCACTGAGTTTTCCTGTGGACCTAAATTTCTTAGACATTAAAAGGGGGAAGTCAGAATTCAGGAATGGCTAAGACATGTGCTTTTGGGGCCATTTCTGATTGATTGGTAGTGGCTACCGGGAGGGTTCTAAGCCTTCCCTGAGGTTAGCTACAGCGCTTGTCAGGGTGCGCAGAGAAATTTCTGTGGGGAGCAGTTTTTAGAGGAAGTGAATTCATGTGCTCACCAGCAAACATGTTACTTAAAAGGGGAAGAAATGTGCCCTTCCCCCAATACCTGATTCCTGTCCTGGAGGACCCCAGACTCATACCGTGGGATGCTCCTACCCTTGCCACAGGTGGGAGGGGAGGGGTGGGGAGAGGGCCTTGGAGTTTCAGGATGTGAGGGCAACCTGGGGGGCAGTGGGTTTGCTTTACATGGCTTCCTGGGAAGGTTTAGACTAAAACCTTTAATCCACTTAGTCCGGGGTGGAACGGGAGGCTTGGAGCCATTGTTCTAGAATTTACCGGGGAGAAGAAGAATTGCGAAATCTTTCTTGATGTGTCTGCTGTTCACTTTGGTGATGACTTCGGGGAGGAACTGGTGGCTGGGGACCAGAGAGAAGCCAAACTGGACGCCCTCCACACCAGTACCTAAAAATAAAACCCACCGCGATGCCTCTTTCTGCACCTCCTCCTGGCGTCCCCCCAGTGTTTGGAGAACTTGGAATTTCAAGATGCAGAGAAGGACTCTTTGCAAAATTTGGAATCCAAGACCCTTGGCTGGTTTTTCAGAATCAGCCAGGCCCCTGTGGGCCACTGGATGCCGGGGATGGGTGCTTGCCACACGCGAGGTGTTGGTGACCGACGGAGGGGGCAGGAAGGGGGCAGTGAGCGTGCCGTCAGCCAACGCCGGTCTTTCTTGTTTTCTGGGCCCATTGCCCCAGTGGTATTGTCCCTTTTTGTGCAGCCAGCCGGTGACAGGAGTAGTGTTTTAGAGGTGAGGAAACGGAGGCTCAGGATGGCCCTTGGGGAACTTGGCTGGTAAGTGGCAGCGTCGGGGTTTGATTGTGCGTCGCTGTGTCTCCAGAGCCCATGGTTTTTCTGCTAACCGGGCTCTTTTGCACGTTAGTTTTACTCAGTGTTCCATTTACTAAATGTTTCCAGGCTTCTTATCACCTGGGCTTTGGCTACTATTTTTTTTTTTTTTTAAGATTTATTTATTTATTTTAGAGAGCGGGAGAAACAGCTCGTGAGTGAGCGGGGGGAGGGGCAGAGGGAGAGAATCTTCAAGCAGACCCCCTGCTGAGCGCAGCGTCCAAGGTGGGGTTTGATCTCGGGACCCTGAGATCATGACCTGAGCTTAAGCCAAGAGTCAGACACTCAACCAGGCGCCCCTGGGCTCTGGCTACTATTTAAAAAAAGCATATTGGGGCCCGCCCAGGGTCAGGAACCAAGAGGATAAAGTGCTGGTACGATCTTGCGGTGTCCTCGAGTCGGGACCACGTCAGGGGCATTAGTTCTGCTGCTGCTAGTGAATGGCGGTCGTAACAACGTGAGTGTTAATGTTTACTGGGGATGGTGGTGTGCCGGGCACCGACGCCGTGTACTTGCGAGAAGCATCTGTGGGTAAGCTCTCCAAGGGAGGGTGGGAGCACATTTCAGAAAGCAAATCTTGCAGCTCCGCAACTCCTTCACATGCTCGTTCCTGCGGCACACGTGCTTGGGAAGGGCTTGTAAACCCTCCTTCCTGGCACCCTTTCCACAGCAGCCCTCCTCCCGTCTTCACAGAGCCACTGCACGTAGCAGTGACGGTCAGGATCGCCTGGGCTCACCTTTTCTGGCTGTGTGACCTCGGGCCAGTTGCCTCACCACCCGGAGCCTCAGTCTCCCCCTCTGTAAAATGGGGATAATAGTTGTGCCTTGTCCCCTGGGATCACGTGAGGCCTAATTGAGTTAATTTGGGTAAAGCAGTTGGCGCCATGCCTGGCACACAGGAAGCTTGTTCTTTACATTGTTCACAGCAGATGTGACCCTGGGGCATCAAACCTGCCAAGGCCTTGCGGCTGGTCACTGTGATCTCAGGGCAGGTGAGGTTTCTCCAGTTCTTTCCTTGCAGCAAGATTGTGAAAGGACCTGATTCAGTTGTCAGCTGATAGAACATTAAAAATGATTTTGGATAACAATTACTATAACTCTTGACATGTCATTTTAAAGGAATTCAGAGAATTTGCTATGTAAATCTTTTTCCATGTTTTTATTTGTTTGAAGAAGTGGTCTCAGCACTTGTGTCTATAAAAATTGAAAAAATACAATTGACAATAAACTCTGCTTTCGTCTGTGGATACATGAAATACTTCTTAAATATTCCTGTTCGTCTCTCTGTTGAGATGTATTTCTAATAAGGTTTAATGTTTTATGTTTATTCCTTGTACAGTTTGTAATGTTTCGGTCATAGGGATCAATTATGTACTAATAGTAACTGTAATAATAATTCAGTCCAGAAGAAAATTTCTGACAGAGCTTTATGGTCACACAAAATTAAAAAAATTAAAGCATTTATATACTTACTTTTTTTTGCCTCGTAGTGTTAATAGACTAATCAGTAAAAGGCCTTTACACATGAAATACACTGAGGGATGTGGTTTGGAAATTGGAATTTGAGGAGGCAAAAGGAACTTTTCTAAATTTCCCAGTGTGGAGGAAGAACCGGATTCTGTAATTTTAGGATGGATGATGGTGGATCTCAAATTGCGATGGTATTTAGATTCCAGTGGATCCATTTAAAAGAGAAACAGTAACAGTTTATTTTGAAATGTTAATATTTACAATATGTTGGAAATTACATCCTCTACAAGTATTTAAACTTAACCATGAGAAATTTTAGATGTCAGCTTGCAAATGTACAAATAGATACATAATTTTAAACATTTATTCTGGGGGCTTTGGTGTGAAGGCCACTGCTTTTGAACATTACCCCACTGACTTCTCAGAACCGGGCTCTGAAGCAGGTACCCTCTTGGAGAGGGCTCCCAGGCCATCCAAAGGCCCCTCCCGGCTGGGCCACTCAGACTCCCAGCCTCTGCACCCACTGAGGTGGTGGGCCTGTCTGCAGGCCGACCGGCCTCCCCTAACCGGGCTCTGTGAGGCCAGGGGATGCTCTGATACGGAGAACCTGCTGCTCTCCCTGCTCACGTAGCGCGGGAAGCCCCGAGTCCAGTAGGGCCGGGAGGAGTGGAAATCGTGCCTTCTGTCTAACGTTGGGGCTCAGGCAGGCAGACGAGGGGAGAGTGGAGCGCGCTGTGGGACAAGGTGCCCCCCATCCTCTTCGTTCTGAGGGGCTGCCTGTGGTGACTGAGGGTTGCAGGTAGCCCTTTGCCTCAGTTTCTTCCTTGGTGTTATTGTAAGTAGGATGCTGGGCACACAGGCCCCTGACCCACCATCTCAGGCCTTGGCCATTGAGGAGGCCCCCTGGTGGCCAGCAGGTTGGGAAGACCTGGCTCTCTCTGCAGCAGCACTCAGCAAGCAGGTCTTTCCTGGGGGCCTGCTGAGTTCCAGGCCCCAGGTGTGGGGGACTCACAGGGACCAAAGCCTGGCGCCTTCCGCTGTCAGCAGTCTGGAAGAGATTGTTTAGTCAGGAAGGCATCCCCAAGGAGGCAGGGTGAGCCCGGCTGGTGGCTATAAGCCTTGTCCTGACAGAGCCAGGCCAACAGGTAGGTTCAAGCCCACAGTCCCGACCAGGGCTTTGCCTGCTCCCCAGGCCATTCTGCTTCTGCTCCTGCAACACAGAGGTGCTAGAAAGGACCAAGTGCCAACTACGGTACAGCCACCACTGTTCACCCAGGGAGCCTTTGTTGGGAGCAAACATGTCTTGGACCCTTGGGTCATCTGTGGCCTTGGGCTCTGCTGAGGGCCGAGCAGGAAGCTCGCATCAGCCCTGCAGGACGGTGTCACCTGGGGAGCGTTTTCCCGCTTTGACCTGCTCTGTGGGAAGGGCTTGAGAGGGAAGCCTGGGAGGTTCTCTGTCCCTGGACCCCACCGCTGCTTGCTAGGGCAGCC